GACTGCGTTAACATCTAATTTCACAAGTTTGTCGGTGTGGACTCCAAAGGGCTTTCACTGCTTGGTGTGGAAAACGATGTCTATTTTGACATAAAGCACGGACAGTTTGAAAATTCACTTCTCATTCTGCTTGCCACTTCACATTCGCAAACATTTTCTGAGGATTTTTACTAATTTCTTCCATCGGTATCCGACAACCAACAGCACTGTTCAAGAATAATACTGCATAGCGAACTGCAGTTTTGTCCTAAACAAGCTGCTTTATCGAGTATAAATTCCAACTTCTTTTCATCACTTGCAAAAAGCGCTCTAACTGTGCCGTGCGGAATGTTGTGCTACGGAAAGAGGTCAGTGAGGATCGTGCTGATGTAATCGGGAAAGTTGATGTAGATTTTTTAAGAGCAGTGAATTTATTTATGTTCTAATACATGTACTGTACCAAAAGTGTGCGTAAGTCCATCCCTTATTGTTTAACTTCTGTTGGCTTGTTCCGTGATGGTTTTTTGTATGTCAGATTGACCTGGTCACACAAACTTCAGTGATAAGCACTAACTATTTACAATGTAGTTCTCATTGCTCATTTTTGTGAAATGAACGAGATGCTGCAGGAGCTCAGCACATGAACCTTAAAAGTCATCTCATCCAGTGCAGAGCTTCGGTATGCGGATAGCTAACTTTTGAAAGCGTTTGAAATCGATTGTTACGTCTACTGTTGCTTCTGAGGCCTTACAGTCGCAAGGCATCAACTGTACTTCATATGGCTGCCGACTGGCGCACATGTACAGCAGTTTGCCGTTGTGCTCATACCGTGCATCCGTCTTTAGTATCATCTTCTTAAGAGTTGTAATGCATTTAAAATAAGTGCATGCTACAGTGGAGACGATTGAACAGTTAAGAAATGCTCCGCCCGCCTAAGTGTTGGCAGCGTACTGCCTTGACCGTCTAAGCGGGCTGGAATACGTTAAGCAATTCACATTTATCGCTTTAATGTTAAATTGTGATTGTCACGTGCCACTTATTCGGGCATCGTCGGGTACGAAGTGCAGTTACATGGAATTGCAGAGGAGGAGTGCTCGAA